CTGGATAAACTCCTGAATCTTCAAATAATTCGACTGAGAAGTCATGGGATTCTTTGTTTATGATACGATATGATGTTGTATAACGTAATTTAAATTTATACAACCATATAGTCTAAAACCAGTAACTCTTCACTTTAATCTGCACTGATATCGTTTTTGTCTTTCCTGTATTTGCTGGTGTACACGTCCAAGTGTTTTCTCTTTGAACACCTAAATTCTTTAAAGTATCCTGAAAGTATATTCAAAAGCGTCCAACTTTTTTAAACATCTTGGTATGTCTGACAGCCAAATTTTCCTGCAAATTTTTGATTACTTTTCTCCCTAATTTTCTTCTTTCCTTCTACAGTTATTTTCAGTGCTCACACAAGAAAATTAAGATTTTTCGATTGCTAGACTTTCATAAATTTTGCATTCTTGTCAATTTTTTTAAAATACCAGTTATATGAATTGAGTTTCAGCTGAAGACAGCTTTTCATTTTCTAGTCATTTTAACTGTAAATTAAGTTTAAAGCAAAGTCCAAAGAATAAATATTTGAATTAAAAGATTTTTTGCTAACTGACAAAGAAATAAAACAGTCCAGCAGTGTTTATTCTTCACCACCGAGTGACCCGATTCTTATATCGGCTGAAATAATCTAAATCATATTAAAGATCATGTTTTTTTATACAATCTATAACGCAAGAGAAAAATTAGCTTCTTAAAACATTCTTTCTAAGAGGATTAATATAAAAATTTATATTTATGTATATATTTTTTAAATCTGGGACTTGAACCAAACTGTCATACTTTTAAAGTTTAATTTACATGGTGGTTATAATTAAAGTTCCACTTTGAAATGGTCATAAAAGGAAAACTACCTGACCAAATGTTATCAAACTTGGGAATCGTGTAAAGGAGGTTATGGGAATTTATTTCCCGCAGGGGAAAAATCTCACCACCAGGGGGAAAATGGCGCTGTATGCAATATTGTTAAATGAAATAAGACACAAAAACATATGTTTGATATGTGTTTAATCGTTTCCAAAACGTGTTACAAAGCATGTTCAATGTGGCGTCCAGCATTTTCCGAAAGCAAGTTAAATCCTGTTACTGCATTCTCGACAGCAGCTCTTAGCATATCAGGAGGAATGTTACGGACATGTCAGTGTATCACATTTTTCATTTCTGCCAAATTGTTTAGATTATCACCATAAACAGTGCTTTTGAGATAACCCCATAGCCAAGAGTCACAGAGGTTGAGGTCTGGTGGGAAGAGGGGAAGTGTCACAAGAAGACAAATTTGAAGAACATGCAGGACGATTGAGTACACATACTTATTTTCGGAACACAAGCGGTTCTCCGATTGGTTATTGAATAAGGAAAAGATGCATTGTCATTTAATACAAAACATTTGGAATACGTTTTCTGACTGTATAACCTAAGATTAAAAGTCATCTGCTTAATTCACAGCCATTTACAAGTCAACTACTCGGGCAATCGCAGAATCGTTTTGATACCTGAGCTTGTAAGACAAAATTGCAAAAGAAATTGAATATTCATTTGCACTACGGCTTGCTAGTTTACTAAAGCCCATATCACACAGCGTTTGTTTCACTTGAATAACTGTTTCAGACAATGTTTTTCACTGGTTTACTATTGAAAGAAAGACGTGCGACTTTTTCCTTCCTTTCCAAAAAAAATTGCAAGTTGTTCATTTTCAACCAGTCAGCTATCATCTTCGAATGCTATCAGCTTGTTTGTAAAAGGGAACCAGTTTCCCCTGTGTTAACCCCAAAGCGGTCTATGGTGATTGGCTGTTGTCACAAAGCAGAAAAATTGTTCCAAACAGTTGTTCTTCCGAAACAAACCGCCGTGTGATAGCAGCCTAACGAGTTAACAAAACTTAATTTCTGCTTTTTGTGTCTAAGAATGCAACAATATTTTAAATATTTACAAATAAAATACTAAATTGGAGATTTAATCGGAGCCTCACTGGTTGCCTAGCATTTGGAGATTGTTAAATACTTATTGTTTGTTGTGAAGTCTAACCAAGGCTGCATGGTTGGTTTTCCTAGTTTTCTAGGTTCTCTTTACAAAGGTCCTCTATGAAAGCATCTTAACCAAATAGCTCCCATGCTCTTTCTGTGTTCAAATAACCAACTAACCTAGTTTAAGTGCGATTTTTAAGTGAAGTAACTAACAAACGCAAATACTCATTAAAAATCATGTAGCTTGCCAATCGGGATAACATGAAAGATACGGCGCCAATAATTGAATTCCTGTTATGGTACACTGTTTCTAAACTTAGACAGTCATTCCTTAATTAAATGTAATTAATTTGTAACTTCTACTAGAGCTGACGGTAAGATTTGCAAATAGAATAATAATAAAAGTGCAAATAAATAATATCGTGTGCGATATTGATTAATCAAAAATTAGAAATATTTGCATTCAGACAGAAAGTTTTTTAAAACATCTGCAATTACTTTATAAGAAGGATTTATTAATAACCGTAATAATTACTTATTATATTGCTGATGATTAGAATTCAGTTCTTGACAATTACATTCTAAATTAGAGTTTTTAAAAATATAATGAAAATACGCTACGCAGAAAAATACATTTTAGGATAAAAAAAATTAGTCAATTTTTTGTGTTTAAAAACTTCTTAAATTCATTTAATAAACATCATACCCTCGTTGTTAATTGAATCCAGAATGTTGGGTGTCGGTTATATAATTATTCTTACTTGTCCACAGAATCTACTGACTTATCGAGCCATTAAGTAGCTGCAGATCATTTCTACATAACCATTGAACTTCCATTAATTCGGTCTCTAGAGGGTTGTATGTTTATATCATAATTTGACTTTTATAAGAATGATTATTCTAAATCTTATGTTTCTATAAAAATATACTGTGCTTTTAAAATATGGATGATGGTATCAGCCGCTCTTTCAGCCACTTTATAAGCAACAGCTTGTTTAGAAATAAATTATGCAGTTATTGTCATAAAATATTTTTATAAAATTCAAATAAACATCAAACAAAAGTTCTCAGTTTTAGACAATTCGATTTAAACAAAGTAAAGTAGCAGACGATAAAATGCCGAAGATAAAAATTTACTCTTACAAATAAATTTTTTAAAAAAGGAAGAAAGCAAGAAACTTTTAAAAAAGTTAAAAATTTGAATAATATCGTCTATAATTCAAAAAAATAATAATTTTTTTCACATAGTATTAATAAATATTTATTACGCATCATTGAGGAAAAAATTTTTATATAATTAATTCTCTATAAAATTTTATTTGAAATTTAAGATTAAAAGTAGCTGTGGCAATTCACTGTAACAAAAATCCATAAACCACATTTGGCGTTATTATCGCTCAAAAAAAAAAATGTCAAATTTCAAAGCACGAAAATATGTAAATTCGTGTATATCTTAGAAAATGTTGAATAAAAAAGTCTAATTTTTTGCAGGTATGCTTAGAAATACACCTACTTTAAGATGATGGTAAACATTTTACAGGTTATGATTCAAAATGTTTTTCGAAAAATTTAGAAATATTATTTAAAAATAGAAATTTAAAAATAAAGCACAAAAAATGGGTAAATTTTATTTGGAATGAACCTAAATTTTGAAATGTGAAAGAAAAATAAAAAAGTTTAATATAAAAGGAGATATTAATAAATATTTGCCAAATTTAATTGACATTGAGGAGCTAATATTTTAAAAATTACTTGTACGATTTTTGCAAAACTTGGCATTCTGGCATAATTTGAGTCATAGAATCGAAATACGGGAAAAAATTGGTATGTTATTTCAGAAAAAGTCCGATTTTGTGTCAAAATACCTATGTTAGAATAGTGCTATATATAAATCTAATATATATCCTAAGGTGCGCTTTCGAGACATGAAAAACGCAATTTGAATTTTGTCAATCGGCCCAATAGAACGGGAAATATGGAACTGTGCCCCCACTTTTTTTTTTTTTTTTTTTTTTTTTTTTTTGAGCAGTGTACATTTATTTTACATTTTTGATGTCAAACCATTGATAAATATATACTATGCCCATAAAAGCATTAATGAGAGGAAGTTAATGTGAGTATAAATGCGGCTTTGAATTTTTTTTCTGAAGGTTGTGATGTAAATGAGTTGTGTATGAGCTTGCCTTGTGGTAGAATTGTGCTTATAGTTGTGTCTAATGACTTGTAATGACTGTGTATGCATTTATGTGAGCAGGTAAAATGAATTGGAAATTAAAAAATCCTATCAAATACAAAGGGAGAGTAATCCTTTGATTTCTGCACACCAGAAACTTATAGTCTATATGACTATAAGTTCACTATCACATCATGAACTTTTACAGTTCTGAAATGATGGACAAATCATTAAAGCTTTCATATGCTTGAGGATGAAAAGGCCTATATCTATGCTAAAGGATCTCTCAGTTGGAATTCCTTTATCACAGGTATCTGGATTAATCATATATGGTGCCCATCATCTCAGGTACCCAAGCATTTATACTTAGTGGATACATGCATACTTACTGAGGAACATAAAACCAACTGCTGCATTCATATTTTTAGTAGGATATATAAATGAAGGTGATGACTTTCCATTCTCATTGTGGCCAAAACAAAGCCTGGTTAGTCTACTCTACATCTAAGCACAAATACAGTTCATGGCATTTAATTGTCCATAATCTGCCATTAAAATGGAGAAAGTAAAGCAAACTCTGTTCTGTTTTCTGAAGTTGATAACTGTTGTGTTCTAAGACAGATATGGTCTACTTTTTATTGTAATATGTCACATAATTATTATGTGAATGTTTTCTAGAAACTGTGCTGTCTATAAAGTGTACTGTGATTTTTAAATAATGCTGTTTATGTGATGAGATTTTGATATAATTTTTGTTAGCATTACTTGCCTTTAACATAATGGTGATAATTAATATAATATTTTATAATAAGTGGCTTAAAATAAATATTTTTTTAGACTATCAATCCTACTATTGCAGGTATTATGGAGTGGTCACATTGATTCCCATATTTATGTATTCTAACATATATACTCCTACACCTAAATTAAATGAATTAGCTGAAAGCTGCAGACTTCAGGATGAATGCATGAATTATGTTGCTAGACAAGGTATTACTAAGCGTTGTTTCCCTTTTTATTATTTTTTTTAAAAAGTGAAAATATTAACTGCAGTAACAATTCCAGGTTGCCATAGGCCTTCCTTTAGGTCAATTTTTACTTTATACTGCCAGTTAACACCTGAAACTAGTGTGAAGACCCTTTGTCTGCGTAATAATCCAAGAGCAAGCGGTATTGATGAAAGGTAAATTTATTATCTTTTTATTTTATGCTTTTCTTAACCCAAAACATAATTGGGTTTCTGTTTAATTATATGTAATATTATTGCCATATCTTTATTTTATCAGAAAAGTTAGAGAGTATCATTATAAATGAATTCATTTCTCAATTTTCTTCTCCCTTTCTGTTTATCTCTATTATTAAGCAATGAAGAGCATGTGTGTTTTTATGTTCCATGTACTGTGGAAAAATTAAGCACTTGTAGCCACTAAATTTTGAACATGCGTAGTTCTCCACCACTTAAAAGCCTGAATTTTGAATTTCCAGTTTTTTTTTTTTTTTAAATTTATTTTATGTTTGGTATGATTTTAATGAAATTTTGCTCAACAAACTCAGTGATGACTAATTTTAAAGCAGTGTGTGGCTACTTAGAAAAACTTAAGATATTTATATTTCAAATATAACAAGGAAATCCAGCGTTTAAAAAATAATGCATTGGCATTTGGCAAAATGCAAGATATTTATTTCTCCAATCTAAAAACTTGATGATTTAAGAACGTATTCCCACTGCCCACAGTAAAATATTTTTATGCAGTTCTGTACCTCTGTTCTTATTAACTACCAGTTGAACTCAATGAAATCATTATATGTTTTTCTTTTTTATAATAAGTATTTTAGGTGGCTAACCATGCAAATGGCTAGTTAGTATAATAGATTGCTAAGTAGGGCCTGTTTGCTGGTTGTTCAAAACTTTATGAAGTATTTCATCACCAGAATAGTCTTAATTTTTTTTTTTTTTTTTCCTTTATGATTATGTGGAGGGAGAGTGAGAAGCAGCTCAAAAATACATATAGATCAAATGCATCCTCTAAAACTATCTAACTATTATTATCTAAAGGTACGTAATGCATCATCTAAACACGAACTCCTATGAAAGTGAAGTACCTTTGATTGAGCTGTTTTTTTCACAGTCGCCTTCTCTACCAATTCAAATTTTCAATTTTCTCTCGTCCTATCTCTTATTTGGTATGTACACTCTAAAAGGACACCTTCCTCGAAAAGCTTATAACTGTTCATCAATAGTAACACAGCATCCTGGTTTATAAAAAATCCATACAACTCTTCATGAATTCATCCCAAATCTCCGATTGGTGCAAATTTTATCTTTTTCTTTTATCTCTCTTCTAGTTTCCTTGAAGTCAAAACGTAGACATTTCAGCAAAAAATGGATTCTGGCTTCACTCCTTCCAGCTTTGTACTGTTGACTGCATAATGTTGTATCAAATAACTCATTTGATGTTAAATGATTGTTTTCTGTAGCCACTGACAGAATAAGTATTAATCCCATTAAAGCTTTAATTTCATCTAAACAGGTTTCCAATATTGAAAATGTTGTTTCAGCATAACTCTCTCCTTTTCTTTTAATTGCAGTATTAATATGAGGGGAAAAAAGGATTGAATAATTCAAGAGGAGTATAAAGTTCTGTTTTTGAGTTCTTAGGTCTTTGAATAAATTGAATAATATTGCGAGATGCTGTCTTTGTGTTGCTTGATTTAGGAACAGATGACCACTTATTTTTACCAGTGAGCTGAATTTTACTGAGGTAAGTAGTAGATTTTTCACATGGCTCAAAATATTTTAGAATTTTTTCAACTGTTTTAGCTTCATCTTTCAACTTCATATTTTATTTTTCCTGGGTTTGACTTTTCAAGCATGGTACGCCTTTTGTTGCAGTAATAGCAGCTACTCTGTCCTGAGATCTCTCCTCTAACTTAGAATGTTTCGGTTGGAATGGATTACCATTCTTTGAAAACAACAGCTGTCAGCTTTGTTGCAAATGTTAAATAGCCTGGCCTTGCGATCGATGTTCTAGCTCATGCTGTAAGATAGAGAGAGATAAGTGCTCAATCTATAGTATACATCAGTTTAGCTTTTTTATATCTATGTCAAAATTACCAGCTTTGTATGGCATATATCCTATTGATTAGAAATAAGAAGCAGAATTATTTGAAATATTAGGATAAGTTTATGTTCATGATATCTTTCACAGGAGTTAGAATGCTAAGTCCAAACCACAATGAATAGCTCTAAACCATATGTTTCCATAATCAAACTTCACAAAACAATCAGCCCTCAGGGGCTCACTTTTGTGAGTACGGGTGTGGCAATCCCGAGGTACCCTAGCCCTTCAGGGGATCATCTTCTTGGTGAGACGGGTGTCACGATCCTGGAGCCCCAGTGATCTATCCTCTTTTCCGTCTCCTCTCCTCTTGGCTGGATCTTTTTCCCTTCCCTTCTCCCTTGTGGTTTCTCTCTACGGAGTTTGGGGCTTGTCACGAGAGGCTGGAACAGACCTTGTCTCTAGTTCTCGAGTGGCGAGAAAAACTGCCCACGTGTTTGCCGTGCGTGGAGACCCGTGTCGCTGGAAAGGAGGGTCCTGGTAGTTGAGGGGCGAGGTACTGTCCCCAACACACTGCTTTGGCCTCTGCTTCAGCTAAACGGGAGGCACCTTAGTCGTCCTCACGGGTGTCAATCGGCTGGTCACTAGTCCTTGTGTCAGTGGCTTGGGGTCAAGCTCTCGGGAGTACCTGCTTTCGGGAAAGCCGACTGTGGGGCTTCAGTTTGCGTATAGGTCCGGCTAGCCCTAACACAGGAATCTGTGTTCCCTTGTTGGGCTCCGTGGTGGGCGGGGCCGTCGGACCCGAATCTTTTCTTATTTCAATATGGCTAATTCTCAAATTTTTCTCATCAAAGACTTCGAAGTCACTCCAGTCTCTCAACCTAGTTCTGAAACGTCTACTACTAAACCAGTCACTCAACCTAGCTCTGAACCACCTACTAATAAACCAATCATTCAACCTAGTTCTGAAAAGTCTACTACTAAACCAGTCACTCAATCTAGTTCTGAAAATTCTGCAAAAAAATTACGGACAGATGCAAATAAAAAAATCATAACAATAGTCCCCGTTTCCTAGTCATCTCTAGTCCTTCTGGCGAAATGCATAAGATGTCTCCTTTCGTGATTAACAAATACATCCAGTCTTGTATTGGTGAGCCGAGAAATATAAAGCGTCTCCGCTCCGGAGACTTCCTTATTGATACAATCTCAGCCACCCAGTCTGCTTCTTTACTTCAAATAACTAAACTTGGGCAAGCGAATGTCAATGTAACAGCACATAAGACACTGAATTATTGTCGTGGCGTTATATCGGAATTCGACCTTCTGTATGTTCCTGAAGAAGAGATCGCTTCCGAGCTATCCGACCAAAATGTCTGCGGTGCTAGGCGGATCAAGATGCGTAAGGAAGGTAAGTTGATCGATACGAAACACGTGATCCTTACCTTCAACACGCCTGATCTGCCTAAGAATATTAAGGCCGGATATTTAAATTGTCCCGTAAGACCCTATATTCCCAACCCTATGCGATGCTTCCAATGCCAGCGTTTCGGCCATTCTAAGACGTCTTGTCGTGGCAGCCTCACATGCGCCCGATGCTCACAGATTGGCCACGATTCTGAAAATTGTACCGCTGCGCCTCTTTGTATAAATTGCAAGGGTGAGCACCCAGCATTTTCACGCCTCTGTCCAAAATGGAAATTGGAAAAAGAAGTGCAGACTGCAAAGGTTACGAGGAACATCTCATATGCCGAAGCCAGAAGATTAGTCCAAAGCACACAGCTACGACCAAATACATCTTACGCCAATGCTCTTAAAAAATCTCGCTCAGTTGCTACCCAAACATCAGTTAGTATGCAGACGCCACCAAACAAAACTCAACAGACTACAAACAACAAGAAGAAAGAAAACCCAACCCATACAGTACAAAATAAAGAAATAGTAATTCAAAGCAAACCCAAAACTACCACACGAAAAGAAACAAATAAAAATAGAAGTTCCACAGCAATAGCTCTCTTGATGGAATGGTTTCTGAATCTGCGGATTCAGACGGTATGGAAGTAGAAGAGGGTCTGGAAGTTCCCAAGCATCTACTTCCACGAAAAACCAAACAAGAGCACAGAAAGAACAAAAACTATTCATAATGGCCACCCTCGTATCATGGAACTGTCGTGGTTTCCACCGAAATCTGCTCGACATCAAAGCTATAATCAATGTTCATCAACCTTTATGCTTCGCAATACAGGAAACAAATCTAAAACCGGAACAACAAGCAAAACTTCGGAGGTTTTCTTTCGTCAGGAAAGACAACATTGCAGGTGAGCGTGCCAGTGGAGGTGTAGGTCTCCTCACCTCACTGGATTATCCCTCAAATGTGCTTTCTTTGACGACATCCCTCCAAGTTGTCGCTACTCAAACAAATTTTGATTTTGTTGCTACAGTCGTTTCTCTGTATTTGCCTCCAAATGAGCATATTGATCAGCAAGATTTAAATGGTCTTTTAGAGCAGCTGCCTGAGCCTTTCATCATAATAGGAGATTTTAACGGCCATAGTCCGCTCTGGGGTAGTAAGGATACTAATTGCCGAGGAAGACAAATTGAGCAGATGATCGAAGATCATAGCCTTTGTCTCCTCAATAATGGGCAAGATACTTACTTCCATGAGCCTTCAAAAACATTCCATGCTCTCGACCTTGCCATCTGTTCACCATCTCTGTTGCCTTTTTGCACTTTTAATGTGGGTAAAGATCTTTACAACAGTGATCATTATCCCATTTTTGTGTCTCTTGCACGAAGAGGAGCAAACCCCATGTCGAGATCCCCTCGATTCATACTGGACAGGGCAGACTGGGAACTCTTCTCTTCCATTGCAGAGCTCACAGATGAAATGGTAGAAGATGCGCATATCGATGACGCTGTTGAAGCTGTTACTAATACTATTATTCAGGCAGCTATGCTCTTCCATTCCTAGAACATCAGGAAAAACTACTAAAATATTCAAAACCATGGTGGAATCGCGACTGTCATGAAGCACTGAAAAAACAGAAAAAAGCATGGGGTATTTTTCGTAGATATCCTACTCTGCGAAACCTCATAGCCTTTAAAAGAGCCAAAGCAAATGCACGAA